CAGTCACTATCCTCCCTTGTATTTATCCATATGTTGTAGTTATCCTAATCATTATAGGATTAGGATAATCATCCCCTTTATTGTTGTAATCCTTATCTCCTAAGGAATATGCTTATTCTCTTGTATGTATATATATGTATGTGCACGTGATGAATAAGATATACAGAGTTACAACCTTCTTCTTTATTCTATAACAAATATTGTTTAGTTTTGTGTTATCGACTAAAATAATATGATAACGAGAACTTAACCCGCATTCTCGTGCTAGTATTTGATTATCAAAATATTTGTTAAGTTATTTATGAAATTTTTCAGCATAAAATATTTCACAAAGTTAAAATTAAAGTTAAGTTTGAATTTAACTTAACCTATAAAATAAAAGTCAAGGTCAAAAATTCTAGAAATTTGTATATGATTTTTTTTTTTGACTGAAGGCATATGTATATGATTTTTATAACTTTGAATAATTATTAGGATCAAAAATAATTAAACTCTCAACTTATTTTTCTATCGCAAATCGTTAAGTTTACATTTGATTTTGCATTTTGAACAAACATATAGGATTAGTGTTTTCACTACACGGTTAAAACTACATAATGCACCGCCTGATGCTATTAATACAAAAGTCAATTTTGATATTGTTCTTTAAACATAAAATTGAATTGGACAAACTCGAAATTATATAAAACTAAATTATATAGAATACATCCGAAAAATAAATTATTGCGGGTGCGCGGGGGTCATGATCTAGTATTTTCTTAAATGCGCATCAAATTTTCTTAAATACAAAAATAAACCATGATTTAATGTGGATTTTGCAAATTAATATGATTGCTCACTCTCTTTATTACGAAAGAAACAGAGTTAGTAGTTTTGTTTATGTCTAAACTAGGATAAACCCGCCCTACGGGCGGGAAGATAAATAAATTATTAATAGAAATTTATTTTAAATAGTTGATTTACTTTAGTTAAAATAGCATTGAGATTCATAAATTTCTAACAAAAGTTTAACTATTTATTTTACTACACATTTAATACAATTTTTTTTTAAATTATTTACACCGATTTAACTATAACAATAAGTAACACATTGTTGCTCTCAGTTATATATTTATTTGTTTCATGAACTGAATTTTTTTTTATACATTGTGTTTTAAAACTAATGATATACAAATAACTTATTCATTATAACTAAAAATATTTTAAGACATATGAACAGATAATATGAAAATATTGTTGCTATTTGTACATATACATGTTTGTTAGAAGCTTATACGCATTACTATTATATATCAACATAATTGATTAGAATTATGAAATAAATATGACTGGCTAACTTATAAATTATAAGCTTTACAATAATTTATTATATATAGCTGAAATTATTATATATGGACTATATAGATTATAGTTTATTGTTGGCTAAAATTATTTCATATATTTATTAGATATTTATATATTTTTATATATATACATAGTTAAATTATTTAAATTGATTATTGTAATGAATTAGAATACATGAAGTAGATGTAGATGATGAAGATGTTAGTTACTGAAGACGGTTGTGTGATGTTAGATAATTTATTGTTGAATAAAGTTATTTCTTTTGTTTATTAGAGATTCCAGGCAAGAAATATCAGAGAATGGAAAAAACATTAATTGTTCTGCTTCATTGCTTCTTCAGTAAACTTTTGATGAGTAGTGATACAGTTCAGGAATCTCAATTATTTGTCGATGATAGGTAGAGGGGGCTGAGCCTTTTTCAGTGTTATTTACAATGAATATTGGTTTTTCCTTTAACTACAGTGAGTTTTCCATTATTGTATGTTTCTTTTTTTTGAAGGGAAATTGTGTTTCAAACAAATCTTGATAATTTTGCAGTTGCTATGACGTGTTTGCAAATGTTTCTTGTTGTGAAAGATTTTGTTTTATACTAAATTAATAATGTTAAAACAACTATTATTTATTAATTTATAAAATTATTATCTTACAAAAAGAATTCATTTTAGAATTTGTTTTTATAATCTAGTCTGAACCAAAATCAAATTGGTTCAAGCTAAGCTGGTTCGATTTGAGTATTGATCCCAAAGGCTATATATGTGAAAGAATTCTGTTAAAATAGTAAAACCAAAATATACAGGGAGCTTGTGCTGGGAGAAAACCTTCGACTTCCACTTTTTCTTGTTACTTACTAAAATATGCTTATTTTATCAAAGCAATCCAAAAATATGGGTAAAAAAAACTTTATATGTAGGTGGGCCTGCAGAAATGGGTCCATAAAGTTGCACCCAGGAATTGCAGCCTGCAAGTGGTATGTGTCGGAATATTGGTACTTATAAACACTTGAAACAGAGAGGGTAAGTAGTTGATGTACGTAATGATAAACTATACTTTAAACACAATTAAAAAATTATTTTCGTAATGAACAAACATTATACGTAATGAGCAACTATAGTTATACACACAATGTGTCTAAGAAACAATCATATCAGTTTCACGATAGAGGACTTGCAGGTTGCACCAAAATTTTCAATGTTTGGTAATTCTGCATCCTTTTCCACAATATAACCTGGTTCTACTTTAACCGGAATATATATATGCAACATTTTTTTGGTATAAAAACTAACAACAATCCAAAACATTAACCTGCTTACACCGTTGCGTTTAAAATCAACGCACATACAACTTGTGTCTAAGTATTATATATATGTAGATCGGAGTTCTCTCTTATATGAGACTAACTAAAACAACATCAGACAAAATTCAGGAAGGTAGGACTAATACTCTTTCAGGTAGTTTCTGTAGCTGCTATGGAGGTGAAATCATTACCTCAAACTGCTCGTGGAGACATTTTTTAACTTTCATTTATAACCTTTGAACGTCGGATCTGAGAAACACAAATATACTGGAATTAAGTTTTTTTTTTTTTTTTTTGTAGTATCAGAAACTGTGAGGATGAGATTCAAGGGATGAAGGATTACCTATTTATAGGTCTAAATCACCGCCTTGAGCAGGAAAAAAGTGACTCTTTGCGAAGTCTAGCAAATCATCTCTTCTCATTTCAGATACCAAAGGGAAACTCTTCTGCTCTTTTCACAGCTGCAATCTCCTGGGAAAAAAATTCAAGATTACATACGCAGAAAGGTACAGCAAGAAAAATAAGATAAGTTAAGCCTTCATCACAACTTTGAGTGAGCTTGCTAGATAGGGCTGCAAAGGATCTGACCATTGTTCGCATGTACCCAAGATACACAGTTTTCTCGGTGAAGCTAACGGCGGTGGAGTCTGCCACCACCTTTCTATAGAAAAAGTGACATATCAATAAAAGAAGCTTGCACAAACAGAGCTCGATTACCAGAGTCATAATATTATCACCCAAGACAAATAAATATTCTAAAAAAAATAACATTGATAAGAAACATGTCTACTAATTCTTCTAGGCTAGTCATCTGATGAAGGATAAATCGCAGCTTGATATTTCTGCAATTGTAAATCTATTGGCAGACCTTCGCAAGTTAATCAAATTGAGAAGATGATTCTGGGAGGAGGATGTCTTACCTTTTTGTAGTCGCAGGTACACCTCCTCACATAAGAGAAGGTCACATTAAATGATAGATCGTGGTGGATGGAGCTAAGAAAGGCTGTAAGGCGATGTATCTGATATCAGGAGCGTTTCAGCTGATTAGGAAGAAGATTGATCGCCGTCAGAGAAATCTTTCCGAACAGATTCCTCACGTCGACGGCACCGAATCAATCTCTCGAGCATCCAAGTGCAAAATTGTGGTGAACCCTAGAATCAGAATCGACTGCTAGATATTGTTAGAGAGATTGAGCTCTGGTTCTGTCGAATGGTGGAGATGAAAGCAAAAGGAACCCTTAATACGAAAACGACGCTTCAAGTCGCGTTCTAATTAGAAAGTTTACTGCTAGGCTAGTGAATCTCCCACACGTAAGGCCCAGTTAAACACAAAACCCACGTAATAGATAAATAAATGAAACGCAGTGGATCACGTTCCCTTGCCACGCGGCGTGTTTAGAAAGACATATTTTCTGACGTGGCATGATGAAAAAGAGGGAAACCTTACTTTATATAAATAGATTGACGTGGTAGGATCTGAGCCGTTGAAATCAACGGCAACCGTTCCTCCGTCCTAGCTCGGAATACCATTTACTTTAGCACTCCGATAGTGACACACCGTGAGACGGGCAAAGGACGCAAAAACATGGCGAATACGGTGGCCGGTTTAACTCCGGTTTTGGCTCCAATCTATTCTCCCATAACTCTTAATCGAAAGCCAATCACTTTCCACAAGCCGCATCTTCTCTCTTACAAGCAAAACCCTATCTCCACTCTTCTACACAGGTCTCCCAAAGCTTAATTCTTTTTTTTCCAAAGCTTAATTCTTTACTTTCGTGGGTCAGGAAAATCTCCTATAAAAGATGAATCCTTTTGATGTTTCTTCAGGTCAAGAGCTGTTCGTGTGATAGAGGTAGCACGCAAGCAAAGGAATAAGTTGTTTTCTGTTTTTGGGGCTCTCTCTGATGACTCAGAGTTAAACCCAGAAGAAGAAGAAGAAGAATCAAAGGTTTCCTCAGAGGTAAAACTCAATAAAGTTTTGGTCTTTGATGGTGTTTTTGTGTCTTGAGATTTTTTTTTTGTTTATTGCAGGGAAAGGTTGGTTCTATAGATATTAAGCTGCCAAGAAGAAGTTTGCTTGTGGAGTTCAGTTGCAACTCATGTGGAGAGAGAACAAAACGGCTTATCAATCGTTTGGCTTATGAACGTGGCCTTGTCTTTGTCCAGGTATGTCTTTCTTTTATGTTTGCTTCGTAGTCCTCACAGACAAAACATTTAGTAACTTGGTTTAAATAGTCTTTAAAAGATGTCTTTTTTTTTCTTCTTTGGCAGTGTGGTGGATGTCTTAAGCATCATAAACTGGTTGACAATCTTGGTCTCATTGTTGAGTATGACTTCCGCCAAGAAACCTCCAAGGATTCGACTACTGATCAAATTTGATATGTTTTCTTCTTTTTTTACTTATGATTAGAAATAACATATACTTTTTCGCAAAGAATAGAGAAAAATTGTATTATTTTTGAATCAGTGTGTTGGGCATAGAATGGGGAAAAATGTAGCTTTCAAGTCGATACATGAGTGATAATAATAGCAATAGAGCTAGAAAGTTTAGGCTGTCATAGCCATCATAAAAAAAGTTGCCAGTACGGTACTGAGCAACATTCCTACTCTTCCTTCTAGCTGATTCAAAGCTCCGTTCTGTAAAACCAGAAAATTAAAGAAGAATGTTATATAATTCTAGCTTATGTAGTCCAGTTTGGTTAGCTGTGTGCATCTTTCCAAGATTCTAGTTAAGTAAGAGATTGTTACCGCGTTCTGAAACGGTGATGGTGCTGGAGCAGTGTCTTGGGAATCTGCTACAACTGGAGGAGACGGAGGGCTTGGAGGAGTTGGTGCTGGAGCTGGGGCATGGTGATGCCTCTTGTGTTTGTGCTTTTTCTTGTGCTTAGCAGGAGCTGGGGCTGGTGGTAAGGTTATCGGTGTAAGCGCCGGAGGCGGTGAAGCTGGTGCTGGTGGTGGAGAAGTTGGTGCAGGTGGTGATGCCGGTGGGGGAGAGGCCGGTGCAGGTGGTGGTGAAGCTGGTGGTGGGGAGACGGTTGGAGCTGAAACGGGCGGGCTTGGTGGTGGTTGTGGAGGTGGAGTTGCTGGACTGATTACTGGTGCAACCTTTGGAGCTGGTGGCGATGAAGTTGGAGTAACTGCTGGTGGAGGTGTAGTCGGAGATGCTGGTGGCGGAGTAGCTGAAACGGGCGGAACAATAGTGGTTGGAGGTGAAGCAGTGGTGGTGGGAGGGGGAGTAGTGGTTGTTGGAGGTGAAGCAGTGGTTGTTGGAGGTGAAGCAGTGGTTGTTGGAGGCGGAGCAGTGGTGGTTGGAGGAGGAACAGTGGTTGTTGGAGGAGGACTACTAGTGGTGGGGGTTGCCGGTGAAGCGGCAGGTCCTTGTGCATTGACATTAAAGGGAGAGATAAGAGCAAAAGCTAATAGAAGAGACCAAATGATTGAACTTGAATCCATTGTGTTTTGAGTTGGAAGCTCCAAGAAACAATTGGTGAAGTTATTGTGCTTATAAAAAGCTTCAAGGGACATTAAGATTTCTTGAAGTAAGAATGAAAAAGAGTTTGGTGCAACGATGGTTAGGTGGTTTAAACAGATAAAGTCTTCATCAGAATGCTACGTTGCTTCTAACTATAATTTTCATGTCATTATTACTCACTAATCAACTAAAGATTGTCTTCATAAAACGTGTTAATCATAAAACAAAATGGGACTGATGCTTCCTTCCAACCTAAACTGGTAACGAGTCTAGATCACTGTTGAGAAAGGCAATAACATTTACCATTTTTCACAATTTTTTTTTTTGGTAGTGTTCAGTTGAAGTTGTGCATTAATATTACAACTAGATTTTGATCCGCGCTTTTAAAGCGTGGGATTATCGCTTTTGTAAGCATTTTATTTTATAACATATAAATTTTATATATTATATCATTGTTAATTAATCAATTTCATTATATCAAATATGTATGAAAAGAAATATATGATGTGTTTTGTGTAGATGTGAAATAGTTGTGTTTATATGTTTGAGTGACTTTTACTGAGATACAAAAGTAATAGTATGTAATACTTTGTTAATTTAGAAATATATTTTATTGAAATTAATATTATTAAATTTTAGTATTTTTCTTTTTAGTATAAACGAAGGTATCATTATAATATTTTATTAACATATTTTTTACTGTTTTCTAAAAACATTTCACACTGATTTAAAGGGATAGGTTCAAGTTATAAAATTCTTTACAACTAAATATAGAGATTTGTAAAATGTTGTCAAATATTTTTTTTTTAAACATAGATACTTAAAATCAAAGGTTCTCTCTTCTTATAATGATTTATGAAATAGGGATAATATCATGCTAATGAAAATTAGACAATTATGTAGAATATTTTGGTGTTCAATAATTTCAGGTATGTTAATTAAACAAATGTAAATAACATAACCGCAATGATTTTGAACCTAACCTGGACCCGTTGTTGAACCGACAGACTCAATGACCTGATATATAATCAGTTTTTTCATTCTTAAAATTCCTTATTTAAAAACAGGTAAACTCCAAAATGAAATCCACAAAAATCATTAAAAAAAACAATGATCCGATAATCAGTTGAACCAAAAATTGGTGATTTTTATTTCATTTTTTCTTATTTTTTTTCCAACTAAGGCAATAATTTCACATATCTTCTTAACTAAAAAGTTATAAGAACATAACTGCAATGTTTTTCAAACTTTACCCTGATTCACTATCGAACCGACAAACTCAGCGAATCGATGTATAATCCGTTTTAGATTTTTCTTAAAACATATTATTTTAAACCCCGGTGAAACCCAAAAAATCACAAAATCCCATAAAAATTGGGGAATGACTACTGGTTGAACCAATGGGTGGTCACTTTTATTTAGCTTTTTCTTAGTTTTTTTTAAAATTACCGCATATATTTTTTATTAATTTTGTTTTCGAAATAATATGAAGAGATAAACCAAAAAAAAAAACTTGATGATACCTTGTAAATTTTCAGTTGAATTTTATGATTTTTATTTTAATTATATTGAATACCAAATAATTCCTTGAATTTATATTCTTTAGATTTTGATGAAGAATTAATTATATCATGTTAAAATAAAGTGAATGAGGATGAGTAGAACACAAATTAGTTAATATAATATGATATTAATTTATTTTTGCTATCGACAATCTGTTACAATTTGGGTATTTTAATTTTATTATTTTATATTTTTTTCTGTATTCATATGAGACATTTAAATATTTTATATATTAACATATTTTTATTGTATTTCATAACTCCAACTTTGTTATAAACTAATTTTTAATAATTTAAACTGTTTTTTTTAATAGTGAATTAATGACCAAGCTGTTTAAATTATGATAATTCTATAAAATCTAAAATTTTGGTTTTAAAAATTGAATACGCAGAAAAAGGGAATGAGTATATTCTTATACTTGGCATAGATTTGGTTTCCAACCTATAGAGAAGTTAGTGGTTGTTTAAAAGCTAGTTACATTTAATAATAAAATATTTTATAGAACTTTATTTGTAAATGCACTAACTGATAAATTATGAATATACTGTAATACATAAGGATTGAAAATCGATTTGCATAATTTTGGGTTGATTAAAGTGCTAATACAATTCTAACTAATATTTTGCCAACTTCATAAAAAAAAATTTGAAATAAAACATAGGTAGTTGGTATGAACTCAAATATAATTTTTACTTTGATTTAAAATTATGTGAAGTATACGTTATGTTTCAGTGGATAATGCAAAATAACATTATCTTATTTAGGTGAAAAATAATTAGACTGACTAGATTTTTGATCCGCGCTTAAAAAACGCATATATTTTTTTATTATTTTATCTACAGATGGATCGATAATTTTGTTTCTATTATGATATAAAATGTCACTATTTAATATAACTTTTTAAAATTAATGCAGATTTTAATTTATTGTTATCATAAATATTTAAGTAAATGTATTGTATGTAATTATATAGTTTTACTTTGGGAAAATAACATCAACTAACTACGCTTGGTGCTGGGAAGCGGGTCAAACTCGGTCCGCCCAACCCGCCTTACCCGAAAAGAAAATATATTTTATCCGCATCCGTTCCACTTAATTTTGCGGGTAATCCACGAGACCCGCGGATAATTATTAAATAATAACAATAATTTTTTTCTATAAGATAATATTAAATAGTAAAATTTTAATTAATTTTTAATACTTCTTTTTAAAAGGTAATTATTTTTAAGGAACTTTAGTATATTTTTGAAAAATAAACTTAAAAATAAAATATTATTCTTGCGAATTATCCGGTATCCGTAATTGAAAGTAGAACAATTCATACATGTCCCGCATAAAATACACTTGACTCGCACCTGCACCCGCAACTTAATTTTTTCAAAACGATCGATCCATTCGGTGGCGGGTCAAAAAAGGTGAGACTCGCGGCTAATATCAAAATTCCGAGCTCTGACTACACCAATTAATTATGGCTGATGAATTTATTTTTGAAAGAAACTTCATAAATAATCAGAAGGTAAATTTAACTCATTAATGAAACCAATTACTATATAGTTTTTGAGGCCCAGAAAAAAGATTAAATTGCCATTAATGAAAAATTAATTTTGTTCATAAAAATAAAAGTATAATTGGAAAACATAAAAAATTTATTAAATAAAATGTTTCTGTTTTACTAGTATTGATACAAGACTGGTTCGAATATTTTTTACATTTCAAATCGGATAACAATTTGGATTTTTGGTTCAAGTTCAGTTTGGATTTTGGAATCCAGATTTTATTGCCCAGCCCTAGTAGAGCAAATACATCAGATAAAACCGTAAACTGCCGCAACATCACTGTCACCTTGAGAATTGACACCAAAAGCAATGGAGAAATTAGAGGAGAAACATTACAAAGTAGGGTTCAAACGAAAGAGACCAAACAAAGAAGAAAGGTGTGTCCTTTCACGGCAACGACAGATTGCCAACGCCGGAGAGGCATAAAAAAATCCACTAGCAACTTCTTCAAAACAAGAGAGAGTATGACAAGAGAGAGGACGAAAAATTTGAAGAGATATTGTTTGATTGTATTGCTTTTCCTATAGCTAGGGTTCTACTCTGATTTTTAAAAATAAAATAGATATATTTATTTAAAAAAATGGAAAAGCGTTAAAACGCTAAAAAAAAAAAGCATACAAGACAAGAATCATCAGAAACAAATCTCTAGACTCTTCTTTTGTAGTATCTTCTTCCTTTGTAGTATCTTCAAACTCATTGTTTCAGCAACTCTTAAACCTGCAAAAAGGATGTCATTAAAATATGATAAGTATGATAAGCCAAAAAAAGGTACGATCAGCCTTTTCGAAGAAAACTAATGAATTACCTTAAACCTCCGAAGTACTAGCCTTTTAGACGCTTAAGAATGTTTTTGTACCAGCATGATAAAACGCCCAACAAGATCACGATGATGACAACGATGACGGCTACGACATATTCACCAGCGCTACTCATATTGTTCCTTGCAAAGCAAAAAATGTGTCAACAAAGAACTTATTTTCTGTTATGTATTCTTCATCAAGAATTCCCTATATATAATTTGATAGTCTTTTTAAAAGATATATTTTAATTTTATATTATTTACATTATTACCTTATCGAGTTGCCAACATTTTAAATCTCTACACTGCTATTACAATTAGTTTGAACAAAATGTTGACTACTTGACTAACCATTTATTCTCTAGAAAAGTGTCATTGACCCACCACATCTGTCATTAGTATTATACTATCTACAGTGGACCTGCTAAATAAAAGATTTAACAGTTGATCACTACAATTGGAAAATGAAATTTGATGACGTTAATTATGTGGTCTCGAATGGATTTAATATGTAGAATAAAAAATGAGGACCAACGACACTACATGTCACATTCTACGGGTTTTTGATATCCTCATAATTATTTAAAACTAATAATCTGATTAAAAACTGAATATAATTTATTTTTATTTTTACACAAACATATCGTTTTATATTTTTAAACAGACACTAAGTTCATTTATTTAGATATAGAAAAATAATTTTTAATTAGTAAAATAAAATGTTCAGTTTTATCAAATAAAATTATTGTACAGTGTAAAATGAATATATGTTGAATGACGAGATAGAAAACGAAAAGATTTGATGGAATATTAAAAAATAAAGTAGAAAGTGTTGAATATTTAAATCACTAGGTAAAGATCCGTCCAAGAAGATCCGCGCATTGCGCAGAATAAACATTGTATATTTAAATTACTTTTACATATTGTATATTTTATATATATATGTATATATATATTGGATAATTAATACTTCAGTAACATTACATATACTAGAGATTTTACCCGGGCTACGTTCGGGTTATTTTGTACAAATATATTATTGCATCTAGTATATATAATACATCTATGTTATA